GTTCATCTGCTGCTATTGAACCTTTTTATTTAGTATATTATGATATTTGAGATCTTTCTCATGTTGCGTCCGTCAGTCGTTTTCAGTATTCTCTTATAGTTATTGATAATTTTTCACGATTTACTTGGATTTATTTTTTCAAAAATCATTATGAATTACCTTGTATATGCTCAGTTTGCTCAGATGATTCACACTCAATTCTCTTGTCCTATTAAAGTCCTTCGTATTGATAATGCTTGTGAGTATAATACGTCATCATTTTTGCAGTTTCTATGTAGTCAAGGTACCTTGGTACAACATTCCTATCCTTATACGTCCCAACATAATGGGCAGAACAGCCTTGACTGCTATTTATAGCATTAATTGTTTACCCACGTCAATTCTCTATGATGTCAGTTCCTTCGAGCATCTATTTGTTTAGTCCCATGATTATAGTTTGTTCCATCCATTTGGTTGTGTGTGCTCTGTCCTCCTCCCTTCCCATGAATGGACATAGTTTCAACCTCAAGCTCGTTTATGTTGTTTTTTGGGTTAGGTCGTCGAATACAAGGGTTATAGATGTTGGGATCCTATCTCTAATTGATTGCGCATATCTCATCATGTCACCTTTTGGGAACGCACCTATTTCTCCACCTTATCTAGGTTTAGCACACCCTCTCACTCATCTTCTCCCTTCTTTTCATCTTCTCTCTCCGGTCTCCTCCCAGACACCTCTTCCTCTTCTTCGCCACAGCTTATTGATTAATCTTTCTTGTCACCGTCTCCTAGAGTTGATTCGTTTGCGCCTCCTGAGCCGACGCCTCCTCTTGCGCCTCTCCCTGTTTATCGTTGCTCCACTCATGTAAGTAAACCTCATTCTCACGTAAATGATTACCAATGTTACTCTGTCATTTTATCTCATCATTAACCTAGGTTCTTTGGTGAGGCAAATGTTGATCCATTATGGTAGCAAGCTATGACTGAGGAATTGTAGGCTCTGGAAACGACTTACACTTGGGATTTAGCGAATTTGATCTTTGGCAAAACCCCTATTGGGTGCAAATGGATTTTTAAAATTAAGACACACTTTGATGGTTCCATTGAGCGCTACAAGGCTCGTCTAGTGGCCAAAGGTTATTCCCAGGAGTTTGGAGTTGACTATGCGGAGATCTCTGCTCCCGTTGCTCGTCTCACTACAATTCGTTGTCTTCTTGCCGTTGCTGTTGTTCGTCAGTGGTCATTTCTTCAGTTAGATGTCAAGAATGCCTTTTAACATGGAACACTCTAAAAAATGTTGTATGACCCCTCCTCAAGGTTTCTCGTATTTTGGAAAATTTTGTCGCTTACGCCGTGCTTTATATGGGTTGAAGCAGGCTCTTTGGGCTTGGTATGCCATATTTAGCACTGCACTATTATATTTTGGTTTTACCACATGTGCTTACGATTCTGTTTTTTTCTTCGTCGTTCTTCATCTCGGATAGTTATACTCTTACTTTATATTGATATATGATCATCATGGGAGATGATGCATGTGGCATTTTTGATCTACAGGCATATCTTAGCCAGCAATTTTAGATGAAGAGCGTGGGTCCCGTTCGTTACTTTTTGGGACTTGAAGTTTCTCATTCTCCCGATGGTTTCTTTCTGTCCCAGGCTAAGTATGCCTCCGTTCTTCTTGCTCCAGCTGGTCTCACAGACTATCAGGTAGCCTTCACAGCACTTGCCTACGACGTTCGACTTACCTCTCATGATGACTCTCTTCTTGATGATCCCACCCTCTATCATCAGCTTGTTGGGAGCTTGATCTATTTGACTGTCACTCAACCAGATATCGCTCATGCGGTCCATATTGTGAGTCAGTTCATGGCAGCTCCGAGGACCTCTCACCACTCTGCCATCTTACATATTCTTTGTTATGTGAAAGGTACTCCTATGCATGGCTTACACTTCTCCTCTCACTCGTCCTTGATTCTCAACGGTTACTCTGATGCTGATTGTACTGGTTTCTGCTTCTTCTTGGGCTTGCTCGATGCCGAGTCAGAGTATCTTGCTCTTGCTGACTCTACTTCAGAACTTTTATGGCTTCAACGACTACTTACTGATCATGGTGCCCCTCAGCCATCTTCTACGGCTCTTAACTGCGATAGTTAGAGTGTTGTGAAAATGGCCCATAATGATACCTTCCATGAGTGCACCAAGCATATTGAACTTGACTGTCAGTTTATTCGACATCATGTTGTCAATAAGGGAGTTCATCTCGTTCCAATATCCTATCCAGATTAGACAACAAATATCTTCACCAGGTCTCTTCTTCCAGACCGTTTCCGATTACTCTTGGACAAACTCAAGTTGGTCTCTACTACCCAATCTTGAGTTTGAAGGGAATGTTCGATTTAGATATTTCTTTGATATTATTTTGTTAGATTTAGATATTTCTTTGATATTATTTTGTTAGATTTAGATATTTTCTTCATGTTATTCTGATAGTTTAGGTCTGAGTCCATTACTATATATATCTTGTAAACTCGAGATATAAAATTTCATAATTTTGTAAACTCGAGATATAAAATTTCATAATTTTCCCCCAAATTCTAACAAATTATTATGTACATTTTTTATTGCTTGTGTTTTTATTTATCTTAACTCATAACATTAATAATGAAATAATAACAGTATCACCAAAACCAAATTTGACTACCTTCTAAAGGATAACCATATTTCGGTCGTAGCACAATCATAAAATCCCGACGCTTAATGCAAAAGCTTATTACAAATGCCATAGCTTGTTCGTACATCAAGTAGAAATTTGTATCGCTTGTAGAAATGCCGGCCAAAAAGGCTTCAAGGAGGGCCATCTTTGGCTGGCCAAAAAACCCGAAATGAAGGTAGATACCGAACCATTCTTTGTACTAATTAATTAATACTGTTGGAGTGCGACCAGGGGTGTCCCTAAGATCTGCTCCAGCTACCGGCAGCAAGGTTAACAAATCTGTGCCGAGGAAAACAGTCTTTGAAAGGCTTGGCCAGACAACAAAAGCTCCTAAGAAACTTTCAGTTTGGGATAGCTTAGCACCCAATAATACTGTGGGCGAAGTTAGCTTCGAAAAGAATTGGAGAGGTATGGCATGTAACTTCAGTAGATCAGATGGTTATTATACCACAACCTACATGCTGACATGGGAAAGCACCCGAAGATGGTTATTTTTACATACCACCTATGAAGTCCAAAAGAGGAGCAGGCAGTGTTGGCCTAGAGTCGAAATGCTTAATTAAGTGGAGATCAAAGCATGTATCCTCGAAAGTAGTGGCGGAGCTAGTGGGGGCCTAAGAGTGTTCGGCCTCTATAATTATTTGAGTTTTGTATTTTTATTATATAGTATTTGTATAGTTTGTAAAATTCAAGTAATTGACCATCCCTATAAATTTAATAAAAATATTTTTATTACATATATTTAACTCAAACATCTAAAAAATTTTATTCAAAACACTCCAAATATATATTTTAAAATTAAAAAGTTGTTTGTATATATATACTTTTTTAGTTTCTATTATATTATATAATTTTAAAATTATTATATATTATTTATATAAAAAAATATCTGCCTGCGCAAAAGGTGACCATTTTTCTGAACAAAGGCCTTCCCAAGAGCTTCGCACTGGCTGCAATTCCTGGGGATGCACCTATCTATGATTGGAGCTCTAGATGACGATGAAGAGTCTGAGGCTAGTCTTGATATTATAGTTGATGACCAAGATTTGGAACTGGCTCTGCTGTATCATAATGATTTCTGAATCAATACCATTGGTTTGTTGCTAAAGGAATTTGGAGCTCCACAGATGCAACCTTCTTATTTACAAGGAGACGTGGCGATAGAAGAAATGATCTGGTTCATTGCTATGAGATCGCCGAAGAAAGTACATGACATTTGAAGACATTGTTATTGACTGTAGCATTGGACAGACGGACAATAAGTAAGGTATTAGTGGATGAAAGTGCTTCCGTCAATATTATAAAATACAGGGAAATTGGAAAGAACATAAACGATCTGGTCGCTACTGAAGACTTCGGACTTCACGGGTCACCCTTTTCTCAATATCAGATGCTCTTTCTATCATCCAAATTTATGTCATATTTTTTTGTAATCCAAAAATATTTTTGTTTTCTTTTTTAGTAAATAGAAAAATCTCTTCTTTTTTTTTCACTTTTTTTCTACTATAAAAGGATTTTTTTTTCTATTTTTACCAAAATTTTTAATATATGTGCGAATCAAATGGACGTAAGTTTAGATGACGGAGGTAGTAACAAAAATAATTGACTTACATTAACAATCAAATGTGTACCTTTTCTTATCACTTTTCTATGCTAAAGAAATTAAAATAAAATAGAATAAAAGCAGCTCAAGAATAATAGTATATCACTTTTTTAGTAAATAGAAAAATCTCTTTTTTTTACTTTTTTTTCTACTATGAAAGGATTTTTTTTTTCTATTTTTACCAAAATTTTTAATATATGTGCGAATCAAATGGACGTAAGTTTAGATGATGAAGGTAGTAACAAAAATAATTGACTTACATTAACAATCAAATGTGTACCTTTTCTTATCACTTTTCTATGCTAAAGAAATTAAAATAAAATAGAATAAAAGCAGCTCAAGAATAATAGTATATCACTATTCTATAAAAACTATTTTGTCGCGTGCTAAGTTAAGTTGCTGCTAATTTAGTATATTTACTTACTTTTTCACACCACAACTTTAATTGACATTAAAAGCTGTGTCAATATACTAAAATCGATATGACACAATATCTTCCGCACAAAACTAACTTTTATAGGTTAATGTATGAGATGTAATCCAAATCCGCCATGACCGAAAAGAATCAAGATTGTCATAACATATATGAAAAGTTTCAAGAATTCTAAAGGAGTTCTTGACGTCTAAAGAAAATAAAACTTACGCATCATAATTATTTTGGCATGCCATAAATGAGTTCGGTGAATCATCGATTATAACATCTCCAACTTAGCCTTGAATGTCATTGCCACGAACAACAGTAACATGGATGGCAAGTTCGTCATCTCCCTCAACCAGCTCGCAAATGCATTTATCATCTTTCTTGATATAGTTGAAGGTGCATACTTTTCTCCATCCACCGGATATTACGATCCTTCCATCCTTCCATTGTTTACATCTTGCCATGAATCTCCTTCCGGTGGGATCTATGAAATGAGCTTTTTTCGAAAAATCTATAACATTATCTTTCACAACATTTTTGGGAACAAACTGAAACAAGAAACGGAATATCATGTTATGTATACAACAACAATATTGAGTACTAAAACAATAATTTAAACATAATACTGATTTATGTACTGAAATATAGGAAAAGATGAACATTTCGAGAAAAAACAAACCATGCAACAATGTAATATTATTCACAAACAATAATAACTAGCTCTTACATAAAATAAATACATAAATTAAAATGAGATCAATATGTCCAAATAAAATAAAAACACAAGTAAAATAAATAGTTTGTTCTTTTATCTTTATCACCATATATTCCTAATAAAAAAAATACCCAAAATTTTCAGTAAACTACAATATTTTTTCACAATATATTTTAAAAAAATAATAAAATTTACTTCACAAAAACAATATCACAATTACCTGAAACTTTTTCACAATTTTCAATGAAAACAATAAAAATCTCACTATTTGTAAAATACTAAAAAAACACAAGCAAATAACTTTAGAGCTAGTAGTATATCGTGCTATATATATGCGATTGTTTGACAAATGTAACAAGTAGTTATCGTTAGGCATCGCCGCCCACGACTAGTTTTTCCTAATAAGATTCAAAATGAAACAGTAATAATCATACAAACTACTATCAACTAGTAGAAGTATTTTTTTACAATCAACATATCGTTTTATATCACTATAAACCATTATATGTATAAAAACAAAACAGTCGAAAATATTATGGCCATCTATATATTGAAGAACTTAATTAATAAGTATATACTTACATAAGAAATTGTTTCGAATATCAAATCTTACCAAATTACCCTGTCGTCTATCCATTACTCCAGTGACAAAGTAAGGGTTACGAGGTTGTGGAGCTAGACCGGCCCTGAAAATGTCTATTCCGTTGCGCTGTACAAGCCGGTCTCTCGACCGTCTTTCTGAATCTTCTTGATCTCTTGCTGCTAGATTTATTTCTAAATTCTCTCCGCCGATACCATCTATGAAACAAGATATATACCATAAATCATGAAATTGTGAATTCATTATAGCAAACATATAGGTTTCTCATATTTCAAAACATAATATATGTAGTGTATAGTTCTCATTATTAATCAACATATTTTGTAGAAATTCATAAATTACACCATAATAAATTCTATGAAACACATAAACAAAATTATGCAAAAAATCTTCGTAACTTGTAAATTACATTCTAAGGACCATTTAAAAATAAAATTAAATTAAAAATCGAATCAATTATTTGTCGTTATAAGAGAGAATATTTTAAAATGATGAAGAAATTTTAACATCACTCAAGAGGTTAGTTTACATGAAAATAGTCAATATTTATTGTAAAATAAAAGGTTTAAATAGCCATGTTTATAACGAAGGATTTTGTTGATAGAATTATTTAATCGCTAAATATTTGAAAAAAATAGCATATAGGACGTACTGATGTTTATCAGCTCAACTTCTTGATTGTTTTGAACATGATTATCTTCATTTGCTTCATGAATTTCTTCAGTCATTTCAACACTATTGATGGGCACAGATTCATTGATCACTTCAACATTATCGATGGACACATATTCATCGGCTCCTTCAACGACTTCATGAACTTCTTTGGTAGCCTGAACAAATCCATTGTACAAATATTCATTGCCTACTTCATTGACTTCATTAGCATCTTCAATCATTAGAATACTATCTTCAGGTACATGCTCCTCGTCCCCTTCATTGATTTCATGACCTTCTCCGTTCACTTGAACATTATTATCCCTTATGACTTGCTCAGGAACTCTTTCTGCCTCGTCTTCATCATAGTTGTTCAAATTTCTTACATTTTTATTATTGTCACATCCATCAGCAACCTTATTGTCCTTATCAGTAATATCCGATAAATCTTTTTCTTTAACCCTTTCCTTTCCAGAAGAGTCGAATGCTTTCACATCAAAAAACCCTTTAATAAAATATTCAAACAACAAAAAGTCTCCGTCTTCAATCTTCATGCCCTCCACAAATTTACTCCATCCTTCAGCAAAACACCACTTATCCTCCTTGTTTCGCACAGACGCAATCCATGGCATATTGTAGTGACCAAGAAGATATACTGCCTTCGCCAGTGGTTGATTCAACTGTTTTATAAATTCATCCGGAATCACCTGTTGCAACATATATGTTCCATGTTAGATTATGCAACTAATCTCTATTTTTTTGTTTTTTGTTTTTTGTTTTTTTGTTAATGCTAGTTCAAAGCAATTTTATGAAATTTATTTTCTTTAAAAGAAAGAATTGTGAAACAGGCTTTTTCCAAATGACCCGAACAATTATGGTAATTCTTTTTTTTTTTAGAAAAGCACAAACAGTATAATAAGTTGAAAAAAAGAAAAAGACCCAAGGAAGATATATACAACTTTGGAAGATATATTTCCCCTGTGTTAATATTAAGTAGATTTAGTTGGGAACAAATACTAAAAAATAATGATATTTTAATATTAAAGTAAGGTAGGTAAAAGTAAAATTAATGTTTCATAGAAATTTTATTAAATGATCGAAAAAATACTTGGTTGAGTAGAAAATTTAATGACAATTTAATTATTATTTGTTAAAGTAAGCGTAATAAAATTATGAGTTATTGAAGTTATTTAGCGGACATCTAAAAAAAATAGTAGCAAAATTTTAATTGACCGATAATATATATATGTATATGTATACATATTTGAAGCTATGGAGTATATATATATGTAGAGGTATAGGTGAAGAAATAAAGGGTTTTAAGGTCATTTTTCCAAAATTATATTGAGAATGTTAAATAAGATTTACATTCACTTACAAAGAAATTTATCTTAAATATCCTTGCTGTTGAAAAGAATGAACGAAAAAAAGAAATAAAATGGGACAAAGGGTTTTATTGTCATTTTGTGAAATAAAATATATCATTTTAAAATAATGTATATTTTCACTAAAGGACAAAATACAGTTGGCATACGAATACCAAAATTTATCTCACTCCAAATAGCATTGACAGTATACATTGAATCTTAAATTCATAGATCTATAGCTTGCTCGCAATAAAAAATAATATATACATTAAAAAAAAAAACAAAATACAGTTGGTATATAGGCTTTTGTAGTCAATTTTTTTTTAATTAAAACATAGTATTTCAAAATAATATATATATTCAATAAAGAACAAAATACAGTTGGTACTCAAAGAGAAAATAAAAGGAGAAAAAGGAAAAAAAATAAGAAAAGAAAGTGACTTAGAAAGTTCTTTCTTGCACAAGGATTGACACAAAAATTATATTTTGAAGGTTAAATTTATGGCGAAAATAATGAAAAGATCCAAATAATAAAAAATAAAACAAAAAAAATATTAACTTCAACAACCAAACAAACGTCAAAACCCTAACTTCATTGAAAAAAATTTCTAGATGCCTAGGTTGAATCTTAGACTCATAGATCTAAAACTTGTTGGGAACAAACAAAATTGAATGAAATAAAATGAGAAATAAACATACCAGTTCCCTATAATTGATTCTCTTATAATAATACTTGAAAAAGGTGGGGTACTTTCTTTTGGTAGACATGGACAAAATTCTCTTATTTCCGCGGGAAGAACAATAAAGAATGTCGAAAACTTCCAAATAAATCGATGGAAACTCAGATTTTCTTAATGTATAACAATTTTAACGAATATTGTTATAGATCTTTTTTATAGGTATGAATACTACTTATATATATATTAAGACAGAAAGTTGCATCTTATATACGGAAGGAAAAAAAATATTACTTTAATTTGATAAAACCAATGTTATTTTTATAAGAAAAAAATATTTATTTAGAAAGTCATATTTTATTTGAAAAGAAAATGCAAATCCAGCCAAATCCAGCCATTAGCATTAAATGAAAAATTCAAATAAGTAAACTTTCAAACTATATTAAAAAAATTGCTACTTACCAATCATTATTTTAACAATAGTACGCAAAATTTGAATATTTATTTTTCTTAAAAAAAAATTTACCCACTTACCAATTATTATTGTTATTTTAAAAATAAATAATTATTATAGAGTAAATTTTGAATATATATTATTAAAAAAATGTTGTTACCAACTATGAATGGATATATTTAATTTAGGTGTATTTTATAATAGAGATGGGTTATTGCGCTGATGATATAAAAATAATATTTTGTATTGATTATTTTTTTTTATTAGTGTATACATATACTTCAGTTTCAACTTAAAATACCTTTTTTATTTTCTATTTATTTTTGTTTGTCCCAATCATAAGTATATTTTTTTATTTTTGTAAAAATAATCATACATTAATATCAAAATACCCTCAATTTTTTTTTAAAATTACAAACATAGCATTACACGTATAATTACTTTGTAAAAATTTCAAAACTTCTTACACACTTTCACTAGCCAATAAAATACAATAGTAATATGTAATACATCTGATTGAAAATATACTCCAATTTAGGATGCTTTAAATTATTATTATGATTAATTTTCCAATTTTAAATTTAATATATATGTCTTTATAATATTTCTGAAATTTAATACATTAATGTAATCATTATAATTTATATAATATTGTTATGATAATATGTAAATAATTAACTATAATTTTATTTATTTAACTTTTATAATTATAAATTATAATAACCATTTTTGATGTTACTTTTCTTAAACAATAATAATTGGATATCCTATGAGATCGAGGTTGAGATTTATTTGGTGTGTTTGTTTGGGAGTTTGAAATTTTGAGTTTGAGATTTAAATAATAAGAATTTTAAATTGAAAAAGCTGCATGATGTGATATAAAAATATATTAATGTGATATTTTAAATGTAAAATTGAATTTTATTATAATATAAAAAATAAAAAATGAGTATTTGATTTAATATTTTTTAGAGAAAAAATCTGGTAAATAGTAGAAATATGAGAAAATCTCCCAAAAAAATACAATCTTCGAAAACTATTTCGGTGTATTAATTTGTAATGATTGTTGGATATGATACAATATATCAAACATATAGACTTCTCAATTTCAAAGCATAATATAAATGCAACATATACTTCTCATTGTTAATAAAAAGTCTCTGTATCTTGTAAATTACTTTCTAAAGACCATTTAAAAAGCAAATCAAATTAAAAATTGAACCAATTATTTTTAGTTATAATAAAAAATAAATAAAAATTTAAAAGATCAAGAAACTATAACATCTCTCAGTAGGTTGGTTGACATGAAAATAGGTACTCTTTATTGAAAAATAAAAGGTCTAAATAGCCATGTTTATTAAGAACGATTATGTAGATAGAATTATTCAATTGCTAAATATTTGAAAAAAAAAAAAACAAATATTGAGTGTACCGATGTTTATCAGCCTAATTTGTTGATTGTTTTAGAAACGATTATCTTCGCTATGCTTTATGAATTTCTTTTGTCATTTCAACATTATTGATGGGCAGATATTCACCGGTCCCTTCAACATTATGAATGGACATATATTCATCAGTCTCATCAAAGACTTCATGAATTGCTTCACTCCCTGGAACGATTTCATTAAACACATATTCATTGCTTACTTCATTCACTTGATTCGGTTCTTCAATCATTTGAACATTATTTTTTTCATTGACTTCATTAGCTTGTTCAATCATTTAAACACTATCTTTGAGCACACGCCCCTCATCCACTTCATCGATCAATTTATTTTCGTATTTCTGTTGGTTTTGATTAATTTATTATGTACATTTTTTATTGCTGCTATTTTTAATTTTTTTTATTTTACGACCAATTTTAGCTCATAGCATTAATAAAGAAACAATAACCTACTAATTAAATAACAAAAACCAATTGGCTTACATTACCAATCAAATGTGTGACTTTTCCTATCTTTTTTCTATTGACGCTCAACTTTAATTGGCACCAAAAACCATAGTAATATATACTAAATTTGATATTAACTTGACATAGAATATTATCCGCACAAAAAAAAAATAAATTAAAACCTATTATACGTTAATGTATGAGATGTAAACTATAGATTTTCAATGAACGAAAAGAAGCAAGATTGTCACAATATAGATAAAAAAAAGTTGTTAGAATTCTAAAGGCATTCGTGTCGTCTAAACAACATAAAACACACACATCATAATTGTAATTCAAAGATAGTTTTGGAATCCTGTAGCTTCTTATACGATAAATGAGTTTGCTGAATCATTAGTTTTAACATCTCCAATTTAGCCTCGAATCTGATTGGCACGGACAACAGTAACATGGATGGCTAGTTTGTCTTTTCCCTCGACAAGCTCTTATATCGTTGAAGGTGCATACTTTACTCCATCATCAGGATATGGCGATCCTTCCATCCCTACATTCTTTACATTTTGCCATGAATCTCCTTCCGGTGGGATCTATGAAATGAGCCTTTTTTGAAAAATCTATAATTATCTTGTACTACATCCCTGGGAACAAACTGAAAAAAGAAAAGAAAGATCATGTTGTGTATATACAACAATACGGAGTATTGAAACAATAATATATACATTATATGTAGTAAAATATAGGAAAAAGATGAACATTTCTAAACAAACAAACCACGCAATAATATAATATTATTCACAAACAATAATAACTAGCTCTTAATAAAATAAATACATATATTAAAATGAAATCAATATGACAAAATAAAATAGAAACACAACCAAAATAAATAGTTTCGTCCTTAATCTTTCTCACCATTCCTAATAAAAAAATACCCAAAATTTTCGTTAAAACTACAATCTTTTCTCACAATATATCTAAAAAATAATAAAAATTACTTCCCTAAAAATATCACAATTACCCGAAACTTTTTCACAATTTTTAATAAAAAACAAAAGAGTTATCAGTATATATAGAATACTAAAAAAACACTACCAAATAACTTTAGAGTTACTAGTATATAGTGCTATACATATGCCATTGTTCAACTAAAGTGTAACAAGCAGTTATAGTTAGGTATCGCCTCCCGCGACATGTTTTTCCTAATAAGATTCGTTATGAAAAAAATTAGTAATCAACAAATTACCTATCAACTAATAGAAGTATTTTCTTACAATCTAAAGCTCATTCTATATTTGCTGTAAACCATTGTATGTATCAAAACACAACAATCGAATATATTGTGGCCTTCCAAATATTGAAGAACTTATAAAGTAGATACTTACATAAGAAATTGTTTTGAATATCAAATCTTACCAAATTACCCTTTCGTTTATCAAATTACTCCAATGAAAAAGCATGGGTATCGAGGTTTTGGAGCTAGACCAACCCTTAAAATGTCTATTTTGTAGTGTTGTTCAATCCGGCCTCTCGACCGTCTCTCTGAATCTTGTTGATCTCTTTTTCCTAGTGTTCTTTCTAAATTCTCACCATCAATATCATCTATGAAATAAGATATATACCATAAATCATGAAATTGTCAATTGTTAATATCAAACATATAGGCTTCTGATATTTCAAAACATAATATAAATGCAACATATATTCTCATTGTTAATCAACATATTTTGGAGAAATTGACAAAGTTCACCATAAGAAATTCTATGAAACAAGGAAAAAGAATTATGCAAAAGATCTTCGTATCTTGTAAATTACCTTCTCTGGACCATTTAAAAAGCAAATCCAATCAAAAATCAAATAAATTATTTGTAGTTATAGCAGCGCCTTATCCTCATTATCTATCTTGGCATCAATATTTTTCAAATCCATAATAATCGAATCAAAGTAATTAAGATAAGAAAGTAATGATGTACCTTCCACCATTTGCAGCATATAAAGGCTTTGTTTTACGTATATACGATTCTCAATAGATTTTTTCATGTACAAAACCTCAAGCTTATCCCACATTGCCTTAACCGAAGTCCTCGTAGCAACCTCCCGCAAATCTTTATCAGAGAGATTTAAGATAATGCTCGAATGTGCTTTCTTATCCATCTCCAAAAATTTGTGCGTCTCCATATCCTTGGGCATTTTTTTCAATACCATGGATAGCCAAATCAACTTCATCTTGTACCAAAACGGCCTCCATCTCGAGCTGCCACATCCCATAGTTGACCTTTCTGTTAAATTTCGCCACTACCATCCTTGTGATTTGTCATTATGTGGTAACAAAGGATTCCCACAAATATAACAAAGACTCTGATACCAATTTCTTAGGAAGATTTGCAGAACCTTAACAATGACAAAAGTAAGAACGAGAAATTTAAAGGACACAAGAATATACATGGTTCAGTCAAGATGACCTACATATACGGGCGAAGGTGAAGCAAACTTTCAGTATTAAGAGAAAATACAAAATAGACTCGAATAGAAATTCTAATGTCCACAATTCTCAATCTCCTAAAAGGTCTCAAAGCAAAACAAATAAGCCACAACTATATATGAAAATGCTACTTGTCTAATTATTTGTGTATACTATAACTCAACCCAAAATCACCAATTTACAGGAAGAGGCTTACGGTTAATTGGCACCACAAGCAATTCGGGACAATGTTGTTGTTCAATTTTTAAAACACTTCAATGTGGAACTAAGCCACATAACAAGTAGTTCAAGTATAATATACTTGTTATCCAAGTATGAGTCAGGAAAGAGATGAATGGCTCGATGTGTGCAAAATTAAAGCACGACATAAGATAGAACATAATTGAATTAATATTCCATTTCAACCTGATGAAACAACTGTCATGCCAGAATTCACCATATTGATAGAAGTGTCATTACTTTATGACTCAGAAGGTATTTCTTAATGTGATTTATTATAATTGATTAGTTAATATGTTGGCTAACTGTATTCTATATTTTATGACTCTAGACGAGATTCAAATGAAATGATTGACAATAAAGAAAATAAAGATAGTAATGTTCTTCGTATGATGACGCTAATGATGATGATGATTATTATTAATGTGACTTTTAATCATGTGCATTAAATGATATTTGCTTGTTGAGGTGATTGACTTTTTTTTTTTTTTTTTTTATTGTTGAAGACATTGTATTGTGAACTTATCTTGATTAGTGGAATTGTTATTGATGCTGTCTATGGATGTAGGAATTTATCCCGAACTAGTAAATATATATTTTTAATTTTTCATATTATTTTTATATTAAAATATCATTATATTTTGTTCTCCAATTTCACAAATATTTAAAATTCTTGTAATGTTTATGTATATAAATATGTAATTTAAAAGTCCATGTATTAAATTAGATGGAATAATATATATATATATATTATAATATTACATGTCATAAAATATATCATACATATCAAATTTATTTTATCTATATTATAAATCTGGAAAATATTTATATGATAATATTTATTTCTATATTTAATAATGACTATTAATATCATTGGATAAAAATAACTATCACAATTTAAATTATTCTTTAACTATATATATTGTTTTTCTTTTAGTTCTTTAATTAATTACATTTATCATAATATATAATTTTACGTTTTGGCACATCATGTATTTATAACTATATATTGATATATTAATAATATTGGTTTTTATGGCTCATTAAGAATAATTTTATCACATAAAATTGTTTTTGCCACAATATTTGGCATGAATATATATATATATGTTTTGATTATCAATATATATATATATATATAACTAAAAGTAAGACAAATTTGGCATAGAAGTATTTTCCAACTAATTTGCTTCAATATTTTTTATGGAAAAAATTTTATTTCTATTTTTGCTATGAAAATAGTTATGGATAAATATATTTTAATGTTGTTTGGTCCCATGATTTTTGTACCAGACTCCTTATCTGTGAGTACCTAACATTTTGACCCATATATTTTATGTATTTTTATTGGTTTTGATTAATCTAATACATACATTTTTAGTTGCTTGTATTTTTATTTGTATTTTAAAATATACCTTAACTCATAACATTAATAATGAAACAATAACCTGCATAATTAGATAACAAAAATAATTGACTTACATTAACAATCAAATGCGTGACTTTTCCTGTCATTTTTCTATGCCAAAGAAATTAAAATAAAATTGAAAAAAAAAAAAACAGCATCTCAAGAATAATATATAACTATTCTATAAAAGTACTTTGTGCATAATATGCCTTGCTAAGTTGCTACCAATTTTAGTATATTTATGCTCCTTTTCACGCCATAACTATAATTGGCATCAAAAGCGGTCGCAATATATTAAAAATGATACTAACTTCACAATAAATATCTTGCGCAAAAAAATAACTTTTATAGGATAATGTACGAGATGTAATCTAAATTTTCGAGGGACAAAGCAAAATCGTCACAATGTAGATATAAAAGTTGTCAGAATTTTAAAGGAGTTCATGATGTCTAAACAAAAAAAACTTACCTATAATAGTTTTGTTTATTCAAAGATTGTTTTGGCGTCCCCTAGATTTTAATACCATAAATGAGTTCACTGAATCTTAATTCTAACATCTCCAACTTAGAGTCGGATATCATTGCCACGAACAACAGTAACATTGATGGTTAGTCCGTCTTCTTCCTCCAGGAGCTCGCAAATGCATCTATCATCTTTCTCTATATAGTTGCAGCTGGAAACGTTTCTCCATACTCCGGATATTGAGATCCTTCAATTCTTCCATTGTTTACATCTTGCCATGAATTTCCTTCCGGTGGGATTTATGAAATGAGCCTTTTTCGAAAAATCTACAACATTATCTTTCACAACATCTTTGGGAACAAATTTAAATAAGAAAAAAAAGATGTTATTCATATAACAATGTCAAGAGTACTCAAACAATAATATAAATACAATATTGATTAATGTACTAATATATATATGAACGATGAACATTTCAAAATTAAACAAACCATGCAACATTAAATTATTCTTGACCAATAAAAATCTTACAAAAAATATATACATAAATTAAACTGAGATAAAAAAACCAAAATAAAATAGAATTTCCAAGTAAAACAAAAGGGTTACTATTCAACCCACCCAAAAGCCGCCAGGGGTATCGCCATCAAGAATACAAGCAAATTTTGCAGGGCCATCATATGTGAACAGCACATTTCCAAGCGCCACAACCTTCAACCGAACAGATAGGGGAAAGACTCCTCTGACTTTCCCAAATAATGTTCCTTTGGGACCAAGGGTTGAAGATGTGCAACCGAACATTGCAAGAGAGGAAAGGCCAAGGGGACATGTGCAGGATCCCATTCTTATTCCTGTGCAAAATCCCATTGATGTTCCTGATCATCAACATTTTTGTTTGGGTGATGAAATTGCTCACGTATTGAGGGTTCAGTTTGGTCTAAATCCTTAGATGGTCAACCAACCTGCTTATCAAAGACCTTTTCCAAAAAGGATTATTAATAAATATCCTCTCTCAAAGAATTACAGGCCACTAGATTTTCATGTTTTTTCTGTGGAGTACCCGAATCAGTGCCTTGAGTAATCAAGTTCCTTCGGGTGTTCGTTAGAGGGGTCGCCCCTAATGTTATTGCAGGTGGGGGAAGAATGATGCCCATCAGGCGATCCTTGTCAGGAGCAATCAAGGCCCAAGTAACCGACCACCACTCGCGAAAGGATTCAACTGAAGTTGGAGAAGATTTGTAAGGAATGTAAGAGTTGGAAGTTATGTAATTTGTGAGTTGGGATATGTACGGGGCGATCGCATCAGGAATAGCTCTCCCATCCGGACTTTGAATTATTAAATGGGGATGAGCAATGGGGCTGGGTAAGCCTTGTTGTTGTTGTTGTTGTGTTAATTTCACAATCATGTACCAAATACGTAAGTAACCATAATATGCTTCTCTATCTTAAACTTTCATTTGAATGTCTTACGTATGAAATTTAAAATTAGGTTAAAAAACCCAAGGTAAAAAGAAAAATGGGCCTAGCAATCGAGTTGATCGAACTGGCCGAGGGGCACCATGGGAAACTCAGGTAAAATAGATATATTTTTAAGGAAATAGCAGGTCGGAAGGTCCTCAGGTCGGGAGGTCCGTAGGTCGGAAGGTCCTCAGGTCGGGAGGTCCGCAGGTCAAAAAGTCCTCAAAGATGGAAAGTGCACAGGTCGGAAGGTCCTCAGGTCTCATGGTCCGCAGGTCGGAAAGTCCGCAGGTCGGAAAGTCCTCAGGTCGGGAGGTCCTCAGGTCGGAAAGTCCTCAGGACGGAAGGTCTGCAGGTCGGAAAGTCTGTAGTTCAGAAGGTCCTCAGGTCGGGAGGTCTGCGGCTGGACTAACAAGTCGGATGGTCTGTAGGTCGGGAGGTCTACGGCTGGACCAATAAGTCGGAGGGTCTTTAAGTCGGGAGGTCTGCGGCTGGACTAACAAGTCGGATGGTCTGTAGGTCGGGAGGTCTGCGGTTGGAGTAACAAGTCGGATGGTCTGTAGGTCGTGAGGTTTGTGACTGGACCAAATAAGTCGGGTGGTCTGCAAGTCGGGAGGCTTGCAATCGGATCAATAAGGCGGAAGATCTGCGGTCGGGCCAAAGGGGCGGAAGGTCTGTGGTCGGTCCAGGGAGTCAGATACTGTTGAGAGTAAGTGAGAATGATACTGTGGTCGGTTGAGGGCACGTGTCAGCAGGAGAAGGGTTAGCAGACGGTTGAAAAAAGAGACGTTGTAACTGTTCGGGCGACGGTTTCCAGTACTGTTTCTCAACGGATATTTAAGGATTTGAATTTTTCTGGAAAGATTATCTTCAATCAACTTCAACAAAGCAAACTCAGATTCGGGGATCACCACTTTAAATTTTCAGCATTTTAATTTCCAGTTAATTTTCTTATGTACCGTACAGTGTTTAGAGATTTCTAATCTCATACGCTAATTAATCAAATTTAAAGATATTTTCCATATTTTTGAATTTTACTTTTTGTTTGTTGAAAAAATGCATCAACAGAATGTCACGTGTTTGATAATATAATGAAAAAACATAATATGAAATATTGAAAATAAGATGAAATAGAAAATTCTTTATCTTGATTCGAAAGATGTAATTTTGAAATTTCCACTGTAATGTATAAGGTTTACTAAAATTTCTCTCTCATATTGATTTGATATATATATATGAATAAATAGTAAGCATTTTTAAATTTTATATTTATTTCTATTTATAATTTCTTAAAATAGTGTGAACGAAGCATTTTCTTTTTAATGGGTTTAGGGTGAATTTTGTAATATGTATCGTTCTATTTTGACAAATCTTGCGTATCAGTCATTGAATTTTAATTATTATTATACACATTCGTTTGATAGATGTCGTATAGTAATATAATCTCTCATTAGAACTTCGTGTAGGGGACCCTATATAATCTCCCATTAGATTCTTCGTGTAGGGGACCCTATCTCTCCTACATTATACATTACATATTATATATATTCATATATTTTTCACTTATAGGATGTTATTTCTCTTTGAAAGAACCTCATCTTTCTTACATATTTCTCCTTTCGTCCACATTGAAATTAGTCCAATTGGGGCTGACACAGAGATTAGAAAAATAAATATTTTATTGAAAAATGATAAAAGTAAAAAGTTAGTTGAGGGTATTTTTGAAAATCTAATTAGAAATTAAAGTAAATGAAGAGGAATAATATAATAAAGTTAGTGGTATTTTTTATAAATAAGTGTTGAAATCTAGTTAGAAATCTTCGTGTATGACTTGTAGTAAGATGGCTGTCATTTTATTTTTTTTTTCCCCTTGAAGTATTTGATTACTATTAACCATTCATACCTCATTGTCATGCAGCACAATCATAAATCAATGGATACTACATCAAGGCTCGAGGAGAAGGACTACTCCACACTGAATGATGACGGAGAAATCGAAAGACATGTTTCTTTTGATGATAAAGTGCCAATAGATTAAGAAAGTTCAGAAAATGAGTTCAATAATTCAATTAGTTCCCACAATTAGATATCGAATGCCTGCTATGAACAATTTATTCAGTAAATATGCATTCGTAATCTTGTATTAAATACTCAAATTGAACTTTCATGGTCTGCAAGTCGATGAAGAGCTTGAAACAGCTCAAACTGAAGGATGCACACCGGAACCATAACATGTCCTGTATGGAGCATCTGAGGAATCGAGCAGATAGTTATACTCAATTATTTGACCCAGAATTGACAGTCCCTGAACTAGACGGCCACTCCTATGGGTACATTGCCGACGTCCCCTCCAGTACGATAGCTCCCGAAAAAGAGTGCGAAGAAGTTGCTCGTTTGAATGGGGATTTGCGGGATAATGTCTGCAAAGGAAATGCCGATGATGGTATTTGGCTACCAAGTGACAATTCTGCCGGGATTGCAGATCGGATTCGATCTCTGAGTAGGACCAATAAATGCCAGTCATAGGAGTTGAGTGACTTTTCTGGCAATGAAATTGGGAGCTCCATGGATGATGAAGACTTCACTATGAGTAGGACACATAAACTGAAGAATCAGAAAAGAATTGAAACTGCAAAGGACAGCACGCCAGTGAAGGCTTCAGGGCAGCGCTGCAATCAAATGCCGAAAAGAAAGGTGGCAGTGAATGTTCCTCAAAGGAAGACAAAGCAGAGGAGGGTCTCGGAAATCTGTGAGGGCTAAGAACACGGTTTGGAGAGGGAGGGTAGCAATGATGTTGTGCGAACAGTCAAGGCAAGGGCGTACGTAGTCTCAGTCTCAAATGCCCAGCGTCGGAAAGACACACGGATTTGCAAAAATGGTGGTGATGGAAAAGACATGCCGTATTGGCTTAAGGAGATGACAAAGTTTATGATGGGGGATAAAGCAAAGAAGCTGAAGCCTAAAATATTTGACATCTCCAAGCTGAGCGGGCGAAGGAGGTGGATGACTTGTTTGAAGAGTTCAAGTTTAGCTGTGCAGTACTTGAGGAAATTGGAACGACTGCCAGCCGTGAGGTAAGTAAATCAGTTCCAGCACTTGTGTAGAATAATTCTATGTTCAACCAATAGACAAGAACTGATTTGACATGGATTGAGAATTAAATTTGCACTATTATTATAATTATTCAGAAACAGATATGATAATTAATGATTAATTCACTACCAAAAAAATGACTACTTCTAGCGGAAGGAAATCCGCTACAAATGACCATTTTTCGTGGCAAAAGGCTATTTGTGACGATTTTGTTGCTGATTTTGGCCGGTATGTTTACTCGAGTAAGAAAGAGCCTGCACTGCCACAAATGTTGTAACAAAAGCCTAGTGGTCAACGCCTGTGGGATGAATTTTTGTTACGATTTTTTGTACGCGACAAAAAGAAAAATTCTTTTTTTAACAACTCATGTCCGTAAAAAACGATGCGGTACAAAAGTTTTCTGACAACTACAATATATTTTTCTATCGATTTTTGTTACAAGTACCTATTCGTGACAAAAATTAAAACTCTATTTGTAACAAGGTGAAGTCGTAACAAATAATGTGTTGCGAATGTTTTATGACATGCACAATAACTTTTAGTAACAGTTTTTGTAACAACTTTTTGTGGCAAAAAATTAATCACCTGTCCATTAGTAAAACATTTTGAAACGACCTAAAGAGACAATATTTAACGATTTTGGTAACAACATCAATTTCGCGACAATTTACATATAAGATTTTTTACCATAATTCCTACAAAAAATGGATCACATGTCCATTATAATAACCTTTTTTTCTACACAATACAAGACTACATAAAGGACAAACAAGCAAAAATTACATACTTATGCGCAACATGATCATCTAATAAGCCGTAGAGAGGTGATAGTTCTACACAATAGTGTTCAATCCATTATATTAAAATATATAAGGCATCAATCCAAGTTCAACACATAAACGTGGAGGGCGGATGCTCATACAACGAAAAAAGTACGGCGGAAGAACTCAGGTGTGGGGAACCAACTGTAATGAATAAGTAGGTTATATGAGTATTTAATTGCAAAAACATAAATTACTACATCAAATAAATTTTCAAAGATAAAATACATACATCTTTGTATGTCCACACGATAGGTTCGACATGGACTACCTCACCGAGGGTAAGTGCTCCAGCAATTGTTGGCAGAATAAGTACAGTCTCTGGAACCGTGGCAGCAGTTACATAGACCTTAACAATTCCTAGTATATCACCTATATATAAATAAACCTTTCTTTCATGAAAATAATATATGATTTCAACGAGTAGTTTACAGAAAAAAAAAAACTAATAATAAGACAAATCATCGACAATATTTTATACATAACGAAGATAGTCGAATATGTTTTTAAAATGCTGGGAAAGGAGAAGATTTTTCATTTACTTAATAAGTACTACAGGTCAAATCATATGAAAGAAAACACAACTACAAGCTAGACAAAAAAGAAAAACCATCAAATATATGTCCAAATAATCTACTAAACGTGCATGTAGTTAACTATGTAACAAAATCGGAAGAGTTCATTGCACTGGTCACCCGCAGTAATCCATTCTAAGTTTTCCTAGGAATAAAATATCTAATAATAATCCAAGACTCACCGAAGTCTCGGATCTTTAGAATAATAATATCGAACCCATGACAGATATATAGAATACGTACAATGAAAATGAAGATGCATTCACGAACATGTTCAATATCAATGACAGCCAAGGTCCACCAACAAGAGTGCCTAGGAAACAATATATAACAACCAAAAGCACTGCATATCCTCTGCATTGAAAATACATTGAATTATGTTTAAAATCCCAACGCAGCCTACTGAACGGATAAATTCTCAATGAAACAAATATTATGGACACAAAAACACAACAATCCTAATAAAACAAGCTAAAATCACCCACAAGAACAAATGGTAACAAAAAAAATTACCTCTCACATCATAACTATGTCAGTCCCCACATTTATATATACTAGAAACGCACCTTAAATATTGCTCAAACTCTTATAAATTCAGAGTCATCACATATTAAATAGCGATAACAAACCTGGAAGGGGGTGAACAACATGATCCCTTCCGAGTTACATGAGAGTATTTGCAACTATCAAGAAAATTGCTAACAAAGTATAAGAAAAATATGATGCCATTTCTAATCTCCTATAAAAGAACTAATGGCACAAACCTGTGAACACAACCATTCAACCAGTCCTTTCGAAACATCATCAATAGTTATGATCTTCTTCTTTGAACCTAATGGCACATTAGCAATGTCATCATCCTGAGCTTTAGGTCTTCCATTGGAAATGGATAAACAAGAATGGTATGTAAGCGATATCTAAAACTAAGTGTTACTAATAAGATATAAAAAGAGGAGCATACCTCACTATCTAAGAAAGTATTTTATCGCTCTTTTCTTGTATAAAACAATTACCTTCAGAGAGCTATCTGCAAAGTAAAAAAGGATGATCATGCAATTGTTATTATATGAAGCAACCGTCTATCCAAGTCGTATGACTCAGGCATTGGAACAAGCCGTAGGCTGTCCTTAAAAGAGGGAGGACCTATGGTTGTTTTATGAGAATAATCTATCTAGAGGATAGAGAAATGTATATTGATTTAATATTTTCTTCTTATCGTATTTTGTTAAACCATCAGCATTGACAAATGACACTAATAAATCCAATTCATCCATAAATCCTTATATCACATACTAATAAAGCATAAATATGATTCGCAATTGCACTACAATACATATAGCATTTGATTGGATTGAACAGAATTAGTAATTCCACACAAAACAAAGAGAAACATTACGTACCAAACTTGATTTAATCTTGCATTCAAGAATGTGTGTATCAGTTAGGATTCAGGTACAGTGGATGCACCAAAATTCAACTCACAAGAACTTAATGATTAATGATTAGATTGAACCCAATGTTATTATTATTACAACAGACTCAGAAAATTATTACATTGCTGAAGTAGATAACCACACACACATGAATGCAAATACAAGATTGATAATTAGTAATATATGTATAAAGAGGTAAATCTTGCAATCACCAAGAAGTTATATTTCATTAAATCTGAAGCTTCCAAACTATCCATGTAATAATAATGTAAGCAAGAAAAGTGTGTACCAATAGGTATAGGTAGAGGAGATGACCTCAGATTTCCTGTCTCTAAAACCCTTTTATATATAATAATGTAAGCAAGAAAAGTGTAACCAATAGGTATAGGTAGAGGAGATGACCTCAGATTTCCTGTCTCCAAAACCCTTTCATATATACACATACCATTCTTGATTTGTTTGAATGGCAAGACTTGCTGAAATGATTACAAGACTATTAGGAGATAGGGAATAGCTACCCAATAAGGCCCAATCTCCAATAAAAGTACTTGTCATTCAGATTACATTACATTTTAGTTTTGCTTGTTCTTACTATTATATTTTTGTTCTTTTGTTGGTCACCAATTTTTTCCATGAATGAATTCTATGTTTCATGCATTCACTGAATATAAAAAAACATAAGATAAGATTTTTGAAATAATATCTTTTTTTTTCCCAAGAAAATGTAAGCAAAGAGCAGAGACCTGTGCAACATGAACATATCCAAATTGGTAGTCCCATAACTAACCTTTTTCTCATTCTATATTAGGACATCAAACTACTAATGTTGCAATTTCAGAACTTACTATTATGCACATCCAAACACATTACTATGCATGACCATACAAACAAATGCATCACAATTTTTACGCTCTGATCATCTCAATAGTTCCTTGATGGCAAGACATATAAGCAATCTCAGCAAGCATATTAGAAAAAAAATTAAGACATGAGTGATCCAAAGAAAACAATCATCGTAAATTTATTTTATTTTATATTTTCATGGGGGTTTGTATGGCATTTCCCAGTTCCAAGGATTGAGTGAGCAATCACTATCTAATCTAATCCCACAACTATGCACGTTGCGCCTAATCTCTCTCTACCTAACATAATGAATTTGAAAATCATGAGAGCGAATGCAACAATGAGGAGTAACCAATTAATCGATACATTTGGCAAAAAATGAACTAAATAAGTCAAAGATTTGTCCATTGAATACAATGGAATAAAGAAACGACAAAGAGAAGGGTGGCTATATGATCTAATGCAATAAATGTTCAACAACTTTATTCTTCCATAAAAAATCCAAGACAAGACAAGACTCTAAGATCAAAGGTGAGCGTGGGAAAGAAAAAAGACTAAGAGAGAATGAGAAATAATAGGATGGGAGGAGGAATCAATCAAGGTTTCAATTAGGTAATGGACGATGTCATCCTATTCAACCCAATCCAAACCCACACACAGGCATTATAAATATAGTATTATCATACTTATATTTGTGCAATGTTAATTTTTCATATCTTGAATCATCCATCAGCTCATCCCTTCCCGCAATTGATCAACACCACTTCACTCTAGTGAAAAACAATAACTATTTCTAATAGCCGCCTCATCCAAAAGATATATTATAATCACATTTCATCACATGTTGTCATCCTTATTGCTGGATCACAGACCTTATATCATTTACTCCAACTTCATTAGCCTGTCTTCCACATAATTTAAGCACCTTTCTCACCGTATACAACTTAGAAAATACTGACTAGAAGAATAAACTCCACCGGTTTCCACTCGGACAGTTTGAGCAATAGCATATAGATGATAGCATGATGGCATATACTATTACTTTTAAGCAGCATATAATATCAATGATAAAATTCATTTAACCGAAAAGCCTATAGTTTACAAATCATAAAAGTTTACCTTTAAGAAATTTTCAATTTATTCAAAAGCCATTACCATAATGCAAGCTAGGTTAATTTAATAAAGAAGATAGCAAACATGAATTGATCAAACTAAACAACTTCTTTTGCATCCACACTTAGTTCCAAGAAACATGCTTAACATTCTATATAAAAATTCTTTAATTACTAAACCTGGGTTTTACAATTCAACCCAAACAAAAAAACATAAGCATTTGCATATGGCATTAGACAATTAAATAAAACCTGTTCAGGTGTTTCACTTCACAAACCCATCAAATTAAAATTTATAATCACTTATACAGTCACCAATGTTTTTTAAATAAAAATGTCTGACCAGCTTACTTCAGAATTTGAGATTTGGTTATGATTTCCAAAGCCTAAATGCAAAACAACAAGTAGCACAAACATACAAGCACATACAAACACTACCAAAAAAATGGCCATTTGTAGCGGTTCAATAACCGCTACAAATGGCCATTTTTTTGTACAAAAAGCTATTTGTAACGATTTTGTACCGGATTTTGACCGGTGCATATACTCGAGTTACAAAAAGTCTCTGTACCGACTTTTTTCACAACAAAAAATGGGTGGTCAACACATTTATTGTAACAGTGTTTGTAACGCTATCATTGTACTTTCGATTTATTTGTAGCGGCCATTTAATAAAAGAATCGTTACAATAAACGCTTATCCACTTGTAACGGCTTTTGTTACGGTAGTAATTCGTTACAATAGTTGGTTTTCAGAAACCTAGTTAATATTTTATGTACCAGTATTTATTTTATGTACCAGTATTTGTAACGAGCAATTTATTGTATCGAAAAATATTTCCTTATTTTTTCAATAATAACCTAAAAAAAATGATTTCGGGACCGAAAAACCTGTACGATGTGAGAAAATACAGCCAAATGACATTACAAAATATGGAAATATTACGGCAATTATGTATCACCATAAGTTGTAGCAAGTACGCACTGTGTAGAAACATAAATATTTCGCAATATAGCTAACATATATGGCAAAGCGTAGCAACAAACACACAAAATGTAGCAGAGACAGCAAGTTCAACCAAAATGTTTGTGCTCCGGAGGTTGTTCGTAGAATAAGCGCAGCCTCCGGAACAGTAGCAGATGTAACAAAAACTCTTACTATGTCAATAGTGTCATCTATGGACATATAAAGAAAACATGTGCAAATCATCGGAAAGAAAATAAGACTCACGTTTTATATAATCAATATAAAATATTAAAGATATTAACTAAAACATTATAGCATACGTAAGAGAAAAAGTCGGAGATGATCGCCTAATTTAACCATCCATACAACAGCGTAATCAAAATTGTAAAATATAGATTAGTATAACTATAATTATAGCATGGATCCTATTTTGATGACATCCGGACCAACATCTGTACAACCCCACAAGTATAAAACAACCAGCAACGTGATCAATTTATTTGATACATGTGAAAAGTTGTTTGTTTAAACAACCAACTTAAACATGTACCAATTTAAAAACAACAATTAATTGAGTACTATTAATGTATCCAAATACCTAACACATAAGTTACATCAAAAATCAAAGCGGTTTGGGGAAAAAAATCAATTTACCCACCAGCCTACAAAAATATTTAATTATAGATTTATATGCTACCCAACAAGGTCATACAGAGCAAACAACCACCCAATTACAGTTCCATATAAATTGCATTGTCACCATATCATGTATTAGTATTTTGACTAACTAATAACCATAGAATATGCTTTACTCAAAATGGCTGCAACCAAAACCGATTTCATATAGATAATATAACTAGGTTGACAACAAACCTGGGGTAGGGTCGGATAGCAACACCCCCTCACCAACAACGCGTTTTTCCAAACCACGAGATATGAGAAGAATACGAGACCCGATCTACATGAAAAACCTACAATTTTTATATGTACGAAAGGACAGACTACCATATAGTTTAACTGGTTGTTATCTCTAAGAATGACTGAACTCAGAAGTTCTCAATAACATGTTAAAACACAATCATAACAATAATAAAAAAACAAGAATCCACGGTTTGCAAGTTCACCCTAACTTTACTTATCATAAACTCTTGCATTCATTATATAGTTACTAAAAAATAGTTACTACTTCAAAAATAGAGGGATAAGCTATTCGTTACCCACTCCAAGCTCCGCAACAGTTCTTTGACTGTCTTTAGGGTCCTTTTTTGTTGCCAACCTATTACACCTCTTAAACTGCACACTAAATACACGAATTAGTATAGTTTGGATGGCACAATAAATGACTATACTAACCAACAGCCTATTCAACCAAGAATGTCACATGTAAGACAGACTTATACCAGAAACACAACTTTTAGTTTCACTTTTAGGCCAATGTGATCAAGATTATAGTATTCAAGTTCTGAACCCTCAAAGTAACAATCACTCAACTTTCAGATTGTATTTCAAAACTACAGGATTGAATAAATCACAACATCAATCCCACTATAATCAAACAAATATGAAACATATCACTTTCAAACAAAAGTTTCGCAAGTAACAATCTTGTTTCAAAAAACATATTTTAGCAAAACTTTGTAACCGATGGCAGTTTAACATCAAACAGTTCAAGTTTTCGCACAAACAGAGAACAAGCAACCTAGATTAAGAATTAGGGGAAAAAAAGTCTCAGTCCTTTTAACAAAACTGAGAACAACTCACGATTTTCAAGATTTGGGAAAAAAACAATGGACAAATCACGATTTCATTTCTTTAACAAACAGAAAACAAAACGAGATTTATCAAATTCAAAAAACAGTGAGTTAGCCACCTAAATGCTCTGATACCACTTGTTATTACTAATCCAAGATCCAATAGGCTATATTCTCTCGAAATCAAATCAACATCGAAGAAAACTTAAAGAAAACTTCGATTTATTACGGAAGCAACAGTTCGGACTCAGTTTACCCTAATATCAAACCAACCGACACCGAACACACATCCAAGACCCAACCACAAATGACACGCCACGGAAACGCAACAAACACGCTAAACCGAAACCCAATCTAAGGAAACATTGCCGAAATTAAAGCCTAAAGAACATCGCAGACAAGTTACACTGCAAACCAACAATAAGGCACAAATCGAGCAATCAAACCTTAGAAAACACCAAGGGGAAGGCACGCATCAAAGGAGAAGAAGAACTTCCAACTCGCCGGACAGATTCACCGGAGAAGGCAGGCGCGACAACGAAGGAATCGCCTAGGGCACGAGAGAAGAATCGAGAGAAAGGTTCTGTTCTGTATTGTTCTCTGAATGAATGAATTAAGGGCTGGATCGGTTTAAGGGCTGCATTATATATATATATATGAAGCAGACCCGGTTCAGACCGGTTCAGCCGGGTTCAAAGTCATAAACCGACGGGTCTCTCAGAGATTGGGTCGGGTAGTGGGTTGCCGGGTCCGGACTTCAATTTTGGGCGGGTCGGTTGTGTGCATTCTAGGCCTCAATAATCACGAGCCAAAATATATAACAATTTTTATAATTAACATTTTTATAATTAAGATTTAACCAATCAAGTCATAAAAAAAAATGCTATATATGTGACAAATGTGATTAGGTGAACCAAATATTAACAACCAAATATACAACAATTTTTTTTATAATTAACATTTTTATAATCACACATTTTTAAATAAATAATTATTTTAATTTAATTTGTATATATTAATATATAAGTATTTAATTTGTATATATTAATATATAAGTATTATGTCTGTATTATATATGACATATATATATATATATGTAAATATGATATATTATTTTAGATTTATTTTGAAATTTAAAATAAAATTATTGTAGTTGTAACGGAAGTATGCCGCAATAAAAGAAAAGGTGTTGACCATACCAAAAATACCATTTGTTACGGTAATATCTGCTACAAAAAATAGCTTTTGTAGCAAGAAAATTGTAGCGACTAAGATTTCGCTACAAATAACCATTTTTTTGGTAGTAAAACATACATTATAATTAATTAGGTGCAGATAGAGCTGTGATTTTTCTATTACTTTACAAACTATTAAAAGATTGCAAAAGAACTCTTTTACCTATGTTATTTATGAAATCATGAATGATAAAATATTAGAAAAATAACGATTTAGAGAACACTGTCACATATTACCTAATATTCGATCTTCGAACAATTATAAGTGAACCTCTGCCACCTCGTCGGTCAATAACTTAATCATGCAAATAGAAGTCGACAAAATGAATATTATTCGACCATGAGACACTCAATTTCGAAAAACCTACTGGTACAAATCTATACTCGTTATTTGTCAAAGAAAATTATAAATCCAAACTAAAAATTTACCCATTAAATATATGAAATAATTTCTACAAGAAGAAAGTATACAAAAACATAGAACACTAAAGAAACTAAAAATCGATTTAACTTACCCTTCGATTTCGTGAGAAAGCCATCGGGGGGAAGAATCACGACACCAATAACTCGGAGAACCATGGGCTTCAACCGGCCACGGTAGGGCAAAGGAAAGGACGGAGTGCAGATCGGGAGGCGATTTCGGATTTGGAAAAAATGGAAATGGAAACAATGTGAATTTTGTCGAGTATTGAGACACATGGTACTATATATTTCTCCAAAGTGTTAAACGCTTTTTAACTTTTTATTTGTCCATCATTTGGAAAGTGTTAAACGCTTTTCAAAATTTATTATATTTGAATTATTTTTTATTATTTATTGATTAATTTTATATAGATTTTATTATTATTATTATTATTATTATTATTATTATTATTATTATTTATAATTATAATATTATTTTTTTGTTATGATTTGACATATGTAAAAAATATATATAGAATCGCATATTGTCATATTTATAGTTGTTACGGACAAACTATCGAAATAAATAAAAAAAAAAGTTGACCAACACAATTTTTTTTGTTCCGACAAAAAGCATAACAAAAATCACTTTTTGTGACAGAATTATTGTAACAGATTCAATTTCGCTAGAAAAAGACATTTTTTTGGTAGTGCAGGTTGTTGGAGTAGACGATGAGGAGGAGGAAGAGACTCAGGAACGCAGATGTGCTCGGGGGCTGCATGAATTGATATTAGAAGACGAACGGGGATTGTTTTGTATCTATTGTCAGCATATGGCGATTTAACTGAAGAATGTAATTCCTAAGGATATACCAATTTCTTCTTTAAAGAACTTAAATCAGAAAATCATTCAACTATTGGAAACATCAAAATTATTCCCTTTAATTTATCCATCCTCCGTAATTTTGTACTAATCTGTTATCTGAAAGTAGGTCAGTGCAATAATAGGTTCATTTAGGTGTTGAAAAGAACTTGGAAGTTCTGAGGTCGATACTTCTTGAGACGACTGGACTGGTGATTCTTGATGAAGGCCATACTCCTCGTAACCGCAAGAGTAAAATTTGGACTTCACTGTTCAATTAAAGACTGAAAAGCAAGTCATATTGTGTGGTGGGACGCTTTTCCAAAACAACTTTAGAGGACTGTTCAACTCACTGAAGACCCTAAGGCATACAGTGACAGAAGCAACTATGCAAGACCATAGTTGTCTCTCAGCATGAGTGGAGCAACTTGAACAATTACTCAGGCCTCTACTTCAAGAGCGCCCATAATATTAAATTTTAGATATATTAAAATTTAATTTAGATCTTACCCTTATTTTTCTCAACATTATTCAATCTAATTTTAATTTTAAAATTAAATTCTTTTCTAAAATTAATCTCATCTTCGTGAATTCATAAATATTTTTAAAGCCCATGATTATTAAATGTATTAAAATTTAATTTAAATTTTATTACATAATTTTTTGTACAATTACCCTGTCCAATTCTAACTCTAAAACTCTATCCAATTCTTTTTCTAAAATTAATTTTAAATCTAATTCTAATTCTAATAAATCCTAACAAAGATTTTTCTATAATAAATCTTATATTCCTTGCCGCTGGAATTTATAGTTATTATTATTGAGCTATTCGTTTTAGCATAGTCAAAACATTGTAAGTTTTATAATTCAAGATATTTATAAAAAATTAGGTCACATATATTTCATTTATTGTATAGATGATGGAATATAATGTTTACTTTTGTAGAATTTAATATTATATTCGTTCGTTGATAGTATAGAAAAAAAAATCATTTATTTATAGGGTCTATCAATTATTTTTTTTGCTCAGGGCCATCAATAAATCGAGACGACCCTGTGCAGGACCCAACATTAACTGAGATTCTGTATTCAGATAGGAAAGCCCAAGAGGCTTTGCTTCCTGAATCCATCAACCGTGTAGTGGAGAGGCTTAAAGTCTCAATGTGGCCGTTTGTGCACGTGCACAAAGGCTGTATCCTGCAAAATTGTATGTTTTTTGTTCTATATCAACCCAGCTATCTTTTTTCTTCTAGCAAAATTGTATGTTTTCTTCGTTTTATGTTTTCTAAATCATCTAGCTTTTATGTCTTTTTTCAGATGAAACAAATGAAAATGTTAAAAGTTAAAATGGGAATGTATTACTTTTGATCAAGTAGACAATGAAATAAAGTTGATAAAAAAAACATGTTTTAATTGAATTATTTTACATTATAGAGGTGACTTGTATTATTTTTTTATTTGAATATTGTGATGAAAAAACTAGGGTTTCAAAATTATAATGTGGAAGGAAACCATTTTTTTTTTTCTTTTTTAGCATAAAGAATAATCATATGTTCATATGCATTGAATCTAGAGATATGATATAGATATAATATTTAAAGATATGATTTGAATATTATTGGCATAGGCTTATCCTATAAATTGACCTAGCTGTCGTGAATAAAATCTGTTCTTCATTCCTGCCCGTTGATGTAGTCAATGGTAGTATAGGTTAATTTAGCCTATAGATTAGCTTCTCATTAATTGTAATTAATCTATTCTCTCATTAATTGTAATTAGCCTATTAATTATATTTAGATTGTCTAGCCATTAAGTTAGCCTATAAATTAGTCTCATTATCTGTAAATTACCTATAATTTAGCATTTCATCGGGATCTTAGCATATAGATCAGCCATTCTTAATCCTATATATACTTTGTACTGTAATCAAAGAAGATGATCAAGTTTTGAGAATGAAACAAATTGTCATGGTATCAGAGCTCTTGGTTTAGAATTGTCTGTTGAGAAATCTTTGGTATTTGTTCGTTTAGTTGGGAAATATTTTGGTATTTTTTTTTGGGTTGGTTTTTTTTTTGGATTACACATGGCTACCAGAAAATCAGATTTTGAATTTTGAGTTAAATTTACGGGAAAGAATTATTCCACATGGGAATTTCAATTCCAGTTGTATGTTACTAGACAAGGGCTATGGGGACATATTGATGGGACTACTCCACCACCTACCGATGTCACTAGAATGGCTCAATGGACGGTCGAGGATGCACGGGTAATGTCTTGGCTTATAAGTTCTTGCGATTCTCAAATCAAACCTAATTGGCATCCATATAAAACTGCTAAAGAAATGTGGGCATATTTCAAGAAAGTTTATTGTCAACGGGATTCAACAAGAAGATTTCATTTGGAATGTGAGATTGCAAATTACATTCAAGGCAGTCTGTCCATTCAGGAGTATTTTTCAGGTTTTCAAATCTTATGGTGTGAACTGTCGGAAAATATTTGTGCTACTGTCTCCAAAGAGGCACTCTCTGATGTAGTGGCGGTTCCTGAAATTAGCAAGCGAGATCAATTTCTGATGAAATTGAGATCTGATTTTGAGAATGCTCGGTCTAATCTTATGCTTCGTCATCCTCCTCCTACGTTGGATGAATGTTT